GGATAAAAGGATGAATGATGGATAAAAGTGCATGGATAAAAGGGTAAACGGTAAGGCTTTCGGCATGATCGATCCTTTGGGGTACGCCATGCATTCCAAGTTTGGTCGGAATCAAGCGGCGGCCGGCCTAGGTTCCAGCCATTGTTCCTTGACCTCCCAGATATTACGCCAGATTTGGTTGGCGTGGACGGCGTAAGATCCGGATATATTAACAGCCGGCATGTGAGCGTGGCCAGCGCACTTGCAAATAAACTGCTACCTTACCTAAGTACCTTTTTTAAATAAATATTCGTAACAGAAACCTCTCTTTCATCATCGAGAACGATTTCCACGATGGTGTTCACCATCTCGGAACAGCTCGGTTGCCCAATTGAAGACGCCTCTCCGATGTCCTCAATGGCAGCGCGTAGATAGTCCTTGACGAAATTTTCGTCTCCACACCTGTACAAATGGCAGAATGCCACCACATGTCACATCGTAATTACACAGTAAGTACATACTTCATGGCCAGTTGAGAGCGGAATTCGTCCCGTTCTAGTGTGGGCAACTCCTTATGGAGACTGGCCTGAAAAACCGAGCTGAATTCCTCTCAATTATATCTGTTCACCGAAGTGAAGTACGCACAAACATTTGGTTCAAATTTTCAGGAAGAAGTTCCACTTCCGCATCCAGCATTTGGTTGAATTCGCTCAGGAGCAGCTTTTGCATGCCCATCGGTTTCGTAGATGCGCACTCGTAGCGGAAGAAGTCGATGCATGCCGAAAGGTCTCTGAATGTCATAAGGTGACTCAACAAGTGCACCCATCATTCATTGTCAATCATAAGGATCAGTCTTATGAAGGGAAAAATCGCGTTTTCCAACTTATTCCTCGTAAGTTACGAAAAAAACTATTCAGAAGGTTATTGCTGTCGTTTCCTTGAGCACATTCTATTTATTTCCTTCTCTTTCACCACCAGCTACATTAACATCTACGCCAACAATGTGATAACTGTTCATACTCAATTAACTGTTGGAATAAATCCCATGAGGACAAATGGCGAAGTTACATAGTCCATTAGGTAGGAGTCCTACCCATAACGGACTCAACTAT